GTGAATGCAGCCATTGAATCATGCGCTAACAAATCGTTTGTGCAAAATACCAAAGGATATACGAATGTAAGCTTCACGTTTTCGGCCGCTTCACCTATGAGCATTGGCAACAGTGCTCTTTTCAAATCGGCTTTCAAAAGAATTCTTCTCTTTTCTTCAGAACTTAACTCCAAGGTCAAGTACATCATTAACTCTCTACGGAAAAAGGCTTTTGATGAATCCATAAAAACTATAAAGCGGAAGTTAGGCTGCGACGCACAATGTCCTGGCTGCGGTTCCAAATGTGCAGTGGTAGGAGATCATAAGGAAAAAATTGTTCCTCATATGCCGCGCTCAGGATACGATACGTCATCAGATGCTAGTGCACTAGTGAAGATTCATAATACCAATCACCATTTGACTGGTTGCCTCCACGGAATACGTTATTATGGCACGACCAAACCAGTTTTATACAAGTGTTATCAAAACTGGGCAAGTGCACGAATCCATCTGAGTGATGAACAAATTGTGCAACCTACTTCCCTGTACTACAATCACTATCAGCCATCATGGTTTAATAATCTCAATGTCATGGCATGCCCAGCCCCTGATCGAGACAAAAAACATCCTGAAATGGACCAACGTAAAGCCTCGATGCTTGTTCGAAAAGTAATATGTCATCGGGAACAATTAAACGACGACACTGATGAAGAATACCAAGACATGGCAGAAACCTATCCAATGACTAAATCACTTCCATCCAATTACATGATCAACTGGAATGATACTTCTTTGTAAAAACGTTTCTCTATTCGCTGATTCACCTTAATAATAGACTCATTCTTGCTTCTTCCTTTCATTTTCGAAAACGAGAAATTTCTCTCTGCAAAGCAGGTGCTGTGGATGAGTGTCTGCCCACAGTGTCTGTGCCTTCGCAGATGTAGGTGTGGGTGTGGCGGGTGCGGGTGGGGCGGTGGCGGGGGGGGGCGTGGTCGGGGGCGCGGGGGGGGGCGGGTGGGTGGGGGTGGCGGTGGGCGTGGCGGTGCGGGTGCGGCTGGG